TATCTCTTGTAATTTTACCAGACTTGCCGGTGGAATAGGAACCGGACTGACGCTCCCCAGAATGGAAAAGGAGCCAGAACTCTAAGGTTCTGTTTAAAAAAAATAAAAATAAAAATAATAATAAAAAAAATGCCGAAGTGGCCTGTTGCATCAGGGCATTCTCCTATAAATAGGTGCTTCTTAGAGGCTTGCTAGTAGGTACGCAGAGTCTTTCTATCCCTTTTTTTTTTTTTTTTTACTAATGCACAACAATCCTTCCACCATTCTCAACTCTCACCCACCTTTCTATCTTGTGCGATGAGTGGTGAGATAATTTCCATACTTGCGGCACAGCGGTGCGGTGCGCCATGCTCAGCTACACTGCATGCACACCGGTTGCGCCGTGCGCGCAGTGCATGAGATGCACTGCCTTTTTTTCTGTTTTTTTTTTGGTGTGTCTGTGTGTGTGTGTGTGTGTGTGTGTGTGTGTGTGTGTGTGTGTGTGTGAGAGAGAGAGAGAGAGGGAACCAGCAACCCAAGGAACTTGAAGGAAGTCTGCCCTTCTTGATGGTGCATGCGTGGCCACGTTATACTGCCCTTTGACATGCCTAACTGTGAAGTCATTCATTCATACATACCTATGTCTTGCGTCCATCTTTTAAGTACCTCAGACAGTGTGGGTTGCATCTTTATCCATTGAAAAAGCATCTCATAGTCAAATGTGACTTCAAAATGTCTGCCATGGAGGTAATGCTCCTATGTTTCAACGCCATATAAACTTATCAAGCACATATACTTCTCTTTCGTAGGTCAAGTTTTGCCAGCTTCAGATAGCATCTTTCTAAAACATATATAGTATGTACTCAATTGGTCTCCACTTTTCCCCCCTCTTAACTGTTGTAAAACTGCACCTATCCCCCATATTGACTGGCGTTAGTCGTAAGAATAAAAGGCTTATCGGGGTCTGCAATCTTCAGGACAGGGTGTTGTTGCATGAGGGCAGACTTCAATTTCTTGAAAGCCCTCTCACACTGCTTACTCCAATCCCACAGGGTGTCCAGTCGAGTAACATCTGTCAAAGGGGAAGCTATACGGCTGTAAAATTCTTTAGAAATGGCCTGTAGTAGCCAGTCATCCCCAAGATCGTGGCCACTCCCTACTGGCTGCCGCTACCTTTGCATCTGCTCGCCTCAAAACTTCCTCAGTGCGGCCCAACTCGCTCCTCGCCATGTTAATCTTCTATTTATGTTTCCGAAGGAGATCCACAACAATGTCCAAGTGTTGTGCATGTTGATCCAGAGACTTACTAAAGATAAGAATATCCTTGAGAGCGACAGTTATAAATTGATCCAAGTGGTCGGGCCGAGCACTGTCGAGTGTTGCAACAGTGAGGACGACGTGCTATGCTACTGTGAGATGTGAAGTCCATAAGCACCTTGTTGTCGAGTTAATGTCATGAAACACTCTATTCATAACATGCTGGAACGTCCGGGCCGGGGTGCATTACAGAGCGCAACAGGCATCTCCACAAAGAACTCATACAGGCCATATCTGGTTTGAACTTTGAAATGCTTTTTTTTTTTTTTTTATCTGGTTTGAACTTTGAAATGCTGTTGGAGCAGCATAGAGGTCAGCATGGTGAAGAGAATCATCCTGGAGGCTCCGAGTAAGCAGAACTTTCTCTTTCCCACATCTAGATCGCACGTCAAACCCTCCCTCTCACCTACAGCTATGGAGGTAGCTCGTCCCCTAAACTACAGCCGGCGCCTAGTTGGCTATGGTTGGCGCCCTATCTCTCTCTACTTCTGCTGGGCGCTGTGAAGTCTTCTCCCGTGCAGGAGCTCAGCATGAAATCGGCCAAGCAGAAAGAATGCTCGAGCTGAGGCAGGGGCTGCTTTTGTAGTGTTGACTCGGCCTGCCTCACATTGCCTCCTAGAACGGCTGAGATTTCTTTGATCTGTGTGACCAGAACTTGGTCGTGGCCTGTGTATGCCCTGGCCCCAGCGAGTCTGGAAGTTTCTGGGAACTTTCCTGCGCCTTTGGATTGTGTGTGATTTGGGGCCTAAGTAACTTCCGGGGACATCTTTGACTCTTGATCTACTGTGCCCATGTTGGGCCTGACTGTTGACTTAAACCGCAAGTACATGGCCCCAGCCTTGCACAAAGTTTTCGCCACAAGCAAAACTCGCGCGGCGTGGGACACCATTGAAAAAAATAATCGGCGGCCTCCGAAGTGGTGCGGGTTTCATGCTGACACCCGCGGGCCGATGTGTGGGGTACTGGTGCTTAAAAAATAAAAAAAAAGGACCATTTCCCGATCTATGCCTGTTGTCGTTGTGCAGGGTCCATGATAATCTTCTCTGTATTGTTCCCATTCTAAATTTCTAATCGATATCCCAAAGGGCACCCCACTGTTGACTTTCCTCAGGCCTGGGTTGACCTTTTCCCAGGCTCTGGGGGTACTTTTGAGACCATGTGGGCCCAACCATTCTACCTGAGGGACGTCTCAGGCAATTCCTCGCCCTTGACAACAACGTTTGATGCCAAAATTCAGACACAGACTGAAATACACGATCCTACTTTCTTCCGCCGAAGACAATGTATGGTCATTAGAACTGTATTTAGACTAAAAGATACCCCAGATACAGCTATAATGACTGTACGCTGCATTCGGGGGAAGAAGGTAGGCCCTATCCCTTTGCCTTTGACTTATGTTTCCGTGCAATTGAGTACTGATCACATTGTCCCATCCTGTACGCGTTGTCTCTGTTTACTAGCTTGGCTATGTCGATTTGCTCTTATTGAAAGTCTAATTACTAGTCAATGTAGTCCTTGATTATTTTTTGAATCGTTAATGAATTTCTTTCTAATGTTTTTATGGTATTTCAATCATTGATATGAATTCTCTACCGGGTTGAATGGTGAGGACCCCGGCCTCGACTAATGACTTTTCATATGAATTGATTTGTTGTTTAAACAAAAGAAAAGATGATGAATTTTCTTTGCTACATTCATATTCCAAGAATGTCTGCCTCTCTTACTTGCCGTTTATTGCCCGATGTAGCGCTCAGCCTCTTCCTGAGTCGGTCGGTGAAACTCCGATGAAACATTCTGTCACTGACCCTGTTCCATCAACTTCCATGTCCTTTTCTCCCTTTTTTCTACCTACTCTTTAGGGGGCAGCAGTTCTCATGACAATATTTATTATGTATCATGTATGACATTGTATGTATATTTTTTTGAAATGATCAGAATCTTCGAGTAATACATGCCTGTGGTCGGTTGCAACCGTTGAATCTACAGGGCCTCACTTATCACAGCGGTAGGAATGTGCTTTATGTTGCCGACACAGAGAACCATGCTTTGAGGTATAATGTTCATCCAACCTACAAAAGCATTTTTTTTTTATTTGTATGCATCTGAGATGTCTCACAGCGCACCAAAAAACGCTAGTGTGGCAACCCATGTGGCAGGTCGCAAGCAACAACGGCTGGTGTTCTGTCTGTTGCGCCTCTCCGTTACCCATTCTTGAGGCTCGCCGCATGGCAGGTCTCAAGCAACAACTAATACATGCTTGAGCCGGCCGCAGGGCAGGTCTCAAGCAACAACGGCTTGTGTTCGGATTGTTGTGTCTCTCCGTCACCCAGTCTTGTGCGAGCTCCTGAGGCAAAATGAGATCTGCGGTGCATTTGCATGAAGTTTTGGGGGGTAAACAATAAAAATGTTAAGTAAACAGGGATGAATATAGATCGATGACTGGGAATGGGGAGGTGTCTTTTCTTCTTCTTCTTCTTCTTCTTCTTATAAATTTTGTTTGCTCAACTGTCCGCAAAGAAAGGAATTTATTTTTTTTTGTTTTTTTCTTTTCTTTCTTGCATGTATGCTGATGATTCATGCAAGACTCATTCGTCATCTTAGATTACACGACTGGTGAAATCGGGCAGTATGTGTTCCGGAAGAACAGAAAGAAACATGTGTGTTCTGTTTTGTGCGTGCTGTTCACCGGCTGGGGAATGTTTGCCGTGTATACGATGCTGTTTCACGGCAAGATTCATTCATCATTTTTAGATTTGCCAATCGGTGGAGTCAGGTGGTATGTGCCCTGGAAGAAGAAATGGAAGAAACACATTGTTTTGTTTTGTTGTGCTGCTTATGTGCTGGGGATAGCACTGAGTACTACTGTTTTTTTTGTTTTGTTTTTTTTGCCCCCCCCAATCAGTAGTACTACTGACATAGTTCACAGCAGTACTTTTCTTTAGGTGAAGCGTTGGGGAAGAAAAGGAGGATGAAATGTGCCTTTTTTTGTTCGGTGCATATGGGTCGCGGGTTCTTGTCATTTTTTGCTTTGGTGAGTTGTGGAACCAGAATGTAAGTCCCGGGGAAGAAATGAGAGAAACGTGCATATTTGTTCTGCGTGTGCAGCTTATGTGCTCGGTATGTCCGTACACCGAAAGAAGGGAGGCTATGTCTATCTAGTATCTACTCTACTCTATGCAGGGAGTAGTAGTACCTAAGCTTCTATGTGATGAGCGCGAGGCTGAGGGAGAGCCGAGGGAGAGGAGAGAGAGAGGGAGAGAGTGAGAGCACACACACACTCACTCACTCGACACGACTGAGGGTCGGACGCAGACACAGTGGCAAGGCACAAAGTCGAAGTCTTGGATTCCGAATGCCGAAACAGCAAGTCACCTGAGTACAAGTACAGCAGCAGAAAACTGGTACGAGACTGGTCCCCGTACTGTACGGGGAGCCGGTATAACTACCGGTGACACGTACGGTACCAGGAGCATTTCCGCAAAAGCCCCGAGGGCAGAACTGAAAAATGCGTATTTGAGAGTGGTGCCCGAATTGCAGCATGGCGCCAGTTGTCCAAAATCCGACGGTACCAAAGGAGGGGTTTGGAAAAAAAAGGGTGCCACCGTGCCAGGCCGAAAACGGGATGCAGCAGAAACAGCAAAAACATAGACCAGGGATCGATCCCTGGCGGAGTCCGTAACATTCTAACCCCCAGCGCTCGCCCCACCCCTGCACGCCTGCAGTACGAACATTCAATCCCGACATGACACCACTCGAGACCCTCCTAACAAGGCACACGGTCCTTCTTATGCGGGGCTGCCTGGTCTGGGTATAATCCCCCGCTAGGCACAGTGCTGAAGTACTAGTGTTACATGCACAGATATGCAATGTATGCAATAAACCGAGAATCTGCAATGTGATGAAAAGGACTGAATAGACAGTGCGGTACGAGTGGAATCTCGACAAGCAATGTACATTCTCATTCATACATAAAGATGCTGAAGAGCGCAGGGAAGACTTGATACAAAGGCTGACCTGACTGGGACTGACCTCAGTCACGTAGGTATCAAGTAGCGAAGCAGAGGGGCTACGATACTATCAACTAGCCCAACCAATGTTTGAACTCAGACTACACATGTATTGTATCCATCACGAAGTGTGAAGGAGCCTGGCGCTACACACAGGAAGAAAGCGCCAGGTCCAGACATACACAGACAACGAGATAAGGGACAGACGAAAGGAGGGAAGAAGATGGGAATGTCGTTAACACCAAGTCTTGGTCACCAATCCCAAATAGTCCCTCGTTGCCATGTCTGAATCCCCGAAAGTCGAGTCTGGATCAAATGTCACCAAGCTCTGTATCTCTTCTCTCATAGTCTGCAGATGCAGTGAAGTCAGAAGTGAGAGGGAGAGAAGAGATGGTGGACTGAGAAGAAGAAGAAGAACTCTCTCTCTCTCTCTGTTGCGAACCAAGTACTAACCTGTGATATTGGCGCTGTGCTGCAGGTACCTCGAAGACGAAGCTGGAGCAACGGCGCTGCAGGTAGGTACCTCTGGCCTCCGCCCAAGCTCTCTCTCTCTCTCTCTAGTACTAACTAGCTATGGCGCCCAGCGCTGGAGACTACAGCTACCTACTGCACCCAGCGCTGAAGACTACAAGCTAACGCTACTACTCTACACTGCAGCGCTCCCTCCAGAGGGCTGCTCCCGAATCCTGAAGACTACAACTGCCGAACTGCCTGCACGTGAAGTGCCTGGGAAAACTACCTGCCTGCCTGTAGGGCCGGCCAGTCTTATAAAGTGCTGGCCCGTCCAGGAGGCTGCCCTTGCCACTGCCCAAACGTGCTAGACCCTGAGGAAACTTCCGGAAGTTTCCAGGTAGCTTCTGTCTAAAGCCTGAGGAAGCTTCCGGAAAGTTCCCAGGTAGCTTCTGACTAAAGCCTGAGGGCCTATAGGCCCTTAAATGCCATGGGGCCTGTAAGCCCTGGATTTCAGGCTTTCGGGCTGAAACAGCCACGGGGTCTGTAAGCCCTGGATTTCAGGCTTTCGGGCTGAAACAGCCACGGGGCCTGTAAGCCCTGGATTTCAGGCTTTCGGGCTGAAACAGCCACGGGGCCTGTAAGCCCTGGATTTNAACAGCCACGGGGCCTGTAAGCCCTGGATTTCAGGCTTTCGGCCTGAAACAGCCACGGGGCCTGTAAGCCCTGGATTTCAGGCTTTCGGCCTGAAGGACGCAGGGCCTGGAAAATGGCCCTTGTGTGCAGGCACAGCATGTAACACTAGGCTTGTGTTCAAAAGGGGGACCATAGTGGTCATGATATCCACCCCACCCCTACATGGCTGCATAAGAGCAGTCGCTCCTCCACGTGACATCGCTTGATACTCTCCTACAGGGCACATGGCCCTTCTCACACAGCCACCTGGTCCGGGTTCAACTCCCGGGTAATAACCACGCTGAAGTATTCGTCTGTATTTCCTTCGGTTGACCCTGCAAGGAATTGAACCAGCGACGTCAACGGTTCGTACTTTTCCTTTGGAGTTGCTCTGGCAAGCATCTAATCTAATACCATAAAGATAATGACGGATGCTAGACCTCGCTTCCGGAGTTATAATGAAAAGGACGATTGAAAGTTTTAAAAATCTTGCCTACTACAGTTTGAGGGAACCCCTACCAGTGGCAACCAAACTAGTCCTACGACCGATACCATGAAATGTGGCATCAAGGAGTCCTATCAACTTATCAAGCACTTGGCAGGAAACTGATCTAGAAGGGGAGAAGGCCTAAATCCTGCGGCAAACCCTACTTTAGCCCTTGAAGAGAGGAGGAGGACGGTGTGGACACTTTCGTTTTGCTCAAATGGGGAATTCACATGCTCCCGGAGAGTACATCCTGATTGCCTTCGCTCAGCAAATGACAAGAAACCCATCCATTTACTGATTGCCTTCGCTCAGTAAATGAAGAATCTCTCTTTTTTTATACCTTTAAAAGGCGAAGGGGGTCCTCACATCCATGTCACTGCACTTTGCGCTCGCCTCCCAACTTGCCTTGTAGGTTTACTATTTAATATCTATTATTGGTTTACACAACTTTACAGCTTTGCTCAGCAACACCTTAAAAGAATGTTTGTTTCTGTGAACTGTTGATTGTGTCATAACATGCCTTTAAAGTAATCGTGTCAACTCACCTTTGAGTTTGTCTTGGTATTTCTTTGTTGCTCTTTGTTTATTGGTGGTGTGATGGCATTGAAGGGAGGTTGACTTCGTTAATGAAAAGGTAACCACCTTGGCAGGTAACGGAACCCAGGGTTCCGATTACAAGGGAGGCGGAAGGGGTCCTTCGCAGGTGCGAACTTGGAGCCCAGCAAACCTTTTTCCTTCTTCATTCTGTCTTTCTTTCTTTCTTTCTTTCTTTCTCGGTAGCTTTTGTTTCTTCTTTCTTTCTTTTCTTCCCTTGCTTCCTTCTTTCCTTCCCTCTCTTCCTTCATTCCTTCCCTTCATTCCTTCCTTTCTTTCCTCACTTGTGCTTCCTTCCTCCATTCCCCCCTTTCCTTCTTCCTTCTTCCTCCGTCCCATCCTCTCTTCCTCCCTTCCTCCCTCCCTTGCGCACCCCCTTCCTCCCTGCCTTCCTCCCTTTCTCACTCCCTTCCTCCCTGCCTTCCTCCCTTCCTTCCTTCTCCCCCTGTCCCCTCCCCCTCTCTCCCCGGCTTCCCCCTGCCCACTTCCGTTCCTCCTCCCGACCCCCCCCGTTTCCCCTTCCCCTGCCCACCCTCCTTCCCCTTTCTTCCCCTCTTTCCCTTCACCCTTTCCCCCCCTCTTCCCCCCTTATTTCCCTCCTTCCCTTCCCCCCTTCCTCCCTCCCGTCCTTCCTCCCTCCATCTCTTCCTCTCATCATGGAATGCATGGTTGCTCCAGGCAGTGTTCTGGGTATACCTCTTTTTTTCAAAAGCGGGTACTGCCAACATCATGAATCAGCCGGGACTTGAACTGTCAACCTCTGTATTATGAGTTCCAATTGTGGAAAAAAGTCCAAAAACCAAAGCAAGAGAATGCAGTTGAGACCGCTTACAAGTCTTGATTCGTGGTAGTGTCAAGCCACAAAAGGTCACTTTTCTTGGGTGCGCAGAGATCTGTTTGTTGCTGGGGTTCAGAATTGGGTGATGCCTGTCCCATGAATTGTCAAGCCTCGCGATCCTTAAACGTACTTTTGTCAAAAAAAAGAAAAGAAAAAAGAAAAAGCTGAGGATCTTCATCCTTGATTGGAAGGACATCAACCGCTGCAGTTGTATTTGTGTCAGTTGATTATGACTTTTTAAGTTTTTACAAGTTTTTAATAGTTTTTATCAAATTTTATATGACCTTTATTGCAGACTATTGAGATTTTGCCCCTCTGTTACACTTGGAACTCTGTCATAGGTAGTTGTTGTCGATGCGATATGTTTTCAACTTTTCAGCGAAGGGTTCAGAGGCATCATAATAACACAACTATTCCTGATGAAAAGTTTGAAAATACTATTCGTGTGTGGTTTCAATTTTTTTTGCAGGTGCTGAATTCCCCATGGGATGTAGTTGTGGATGAACCAAATGGAAAAGTCTATGTGGCAATGGCTGGGCAGCATCAGATATGGACATATGACATTGACACTGGAGTTTCCCAGAGGTTCAGTGGCGATGGTTCTGAACGCAACCTCAACGGGCGAAGGTACTAATCCAACCATCAGAACCTCTCAGTGGTCAGAGTCACAGATTCGTTCTCTCTCTCTCTCTCTCTCTCTCTCTCTCTCTCTCTCTCTCTCTCTCTCTCTCTCTCTCTCTCTCTCTCTCTCTCTCTCTCTCTCTCTC